ACACACACACACACACACACACACACACACACACACACACACACACACACACACACACACACACACACACACACACACACACACACACACACTAGTTTATTTACAGTAACCTCTTACACCTGATTTGTTCTATCACGTCATCAGAAAGTGTTATCTTTCAACAAAATTACAAGTGTGCAATTTTTATATATAACATTTCACACAATTAGGCTAATAGCAAAAAAAACAACAAAAAGCACAAGAACAACATTGCACGTAAAAGACAGACAAATAATACTAAGTACTAACTACAAGGTAAGTACAAGAGAGACAGAGAACTGCAGAAGTAGGACCCTCAGAGCGGGAGAAATGTTAGCTTTGATCTCTATTCTAAAAGAATAAAATAAAAAAAATAATGAGAAAAAATAATATTAAGAACAGATGTGGGCCTCATCTCCATAATATCACTCACAATCTTTGGCCAATTATAGAAAAGTAGTTGGTCTGAATGAAATAAAAAGTACGGAAGCGCATTCGTAATTAAAATCAAAACAGAAACAGGCTACTACAATTGGATCACTGGGGGAAATGAGCAAAATGTGTCTCTTGGAATTGGTATTTCAGTACATCATCATAGTCGCGCACCTAAATGAACAGCACAATAAAACAATACAAATGGAATTTACCTCCAAATATCTCAAAAGTGTTTTAAAAATTACATAATAGTTGTTAATTCTAACTTCTAAAGTAAAAATAGCACATCTGTTTTCCTTGGATGATATTTTCACACAATTTCTTAGATAATTCTAGGCAAGAAACATCAGGCGTCTTGCATAAAATATGAGCTAATAAAACCCGAGTACAAATTGTAATGTGAGAAGGGTAAAGTGTACTTTCGTGAAAAAAAAAAGGTTTCTTCAGCATGGAACCCACACATTCGCAGAGGTAACCAATCAGTATCATATTTAACTTCTTTCTACAAGCCTCGCACAAGAATGAATAAGGAACGTTATTAAGAGCAGATTCATTGTCTCGCATCTAGAACTACAACACTCGTATTCTGTTTTAAAATGTGCAAGTTTTGTGTTAGTACATCAAATGGAAGGATACGAGAAATACATTTATATTCCATCACCTGTCGCATCACTTTCAGCTTCACAAAAGTAGTAAGGGCTACTGGACTTAAATAAACTCTGTGAAATCCATTTGCATCCAGTTAAAACCAGCTTAGATATTTCAGTAATAGCATGGAGGACACGAAGTAGGATTTGATCCGCACTTGAGACGATCCAGTCGTTAAGAGCATCTTTGACTGGCACTTTAACACTCAAGTCGGATGGTGATGATGCAAACACTGTGAAATCGATCCACCAGTTCCACTTACGGCCGACAGAGTGTGCTGTCAATCACACGATTTGGTTTACTTAAAGTTTAAATGAACCGAACGAAGAGTTGATGTTGCCTGATGTTGGGATACGTGTAAATGCATTAGAATAAAATATAGAAAATATATAAATATTTCTGACGTTACCATTTGAGCAGCTGTCTTCGGTTTCCTTGCTATGTTAGGAATGTATGTCCCGGCTGTCGAAAATAACAAAATATTTATTTATTATTCACAGAAAAACAAGATTATATGATACATATACTGTAAACAACATAATTAAGAACTAACAAACTTCTTATGTTGAACTAACTATTAACCTATAAACTAAAACGTTCCTTACCACGTGTTTCATAACAACGCCCTCTATAACTGGATCATGAAAAAAAAAACATATTTGCCATTTTTGACGTTCTATGGGTATATAAGGCAGCGAGTTTTTTGAGCGACATCTTTACACTCTGAAAACAAACTAAATAACAACAAAAATTATCTGCCCAGTTAGAGAAGTTATCTAACATTAGTAGTTTCGTACAATTAAATATAAGTTTACAGCTAGTAATTGAATAAATCACCCTGTAAATTGGATGATTGTTTAGTGTTAATTTTCGGGATCTACAGGCTTGTGTGTTGTCTACTGATGTTCGAGAATATTTATCGCCTTTCCTAATTACTAGCAATAAAAAAGTGTTATTAAAATAGTATTAAACACGTATATATCAATCATGT